AAACGAACAGAAGAAACTTCAGTGCAAATTTTCATTATTTGTATTACCAAGCTGAACTCCAAATTTGATTTGAGAACCACGCCAAAATGACTTGAGCAATTGTATCTAAGTTCTCTCCTTTTTGTATTTACGTTGTTCATGTAAATGGCCATAGCTTAGTCACTTACCGTAATATTCAGTGGCAAAGCCTCTTTTCCCAAGACAATGAGACTGATCGAAGTTATCTGTGACTTTTGCAAGTTTCTTGTAGGGCAAGATTTTCCATTTACTCTGCTTTTGAAATGTGTCAGAAGTGCTACTGAAGCAGCCCTCAAAGAGATTACACCTCATTCTCATAAGGCAATCAATAAACTTCATTGGGACGCTGAATGTGAGTGAGGAAAAAGCAGGTTCATCAGAATTGCAAATTACTTTGTACATTGAATTCTATAAAGTCTAATTTGTGTTCTACTAGGTATGGGAAGAAAACATATTTAAGTCAATGACTTAAACTAGGTGTGGGGGAAAAATTCTTGGTAACTAAAAGACAAATTAACAAGACCATAATTAGGGGGACTAACAACACACTTAATCCATCAGAAAACACAAGCAGAACATTCAAATAAACACATTGATGAAGAAAAGGTTTATTGGCTGAAAAAAACATGCTTTAAAGTGCTAATATACTTAATCCACAAAAAACACGAACAGGGCATTCTAATAAACTCATTGGTCATTAATACCTGAACTAAAACATGCATTAAACTGCTTATCTTCATCAAAGCGCAGAGTTGTAATTTCATAACTATGGTCAAGTTTGCCATAAGAGGAGTATTTTTTTTCACACACACCATAGGAAGAAAATAAATTTACCTATACCTATTTTTGTGGCCAAGGAGAACATCTATCATGTAATCAGAAAACAATCACTGCAGGCAAATTTTCATTCCAAGTCATGTTTAAATCAAATATACTTAGTTACTCATTTAGTCCATATATCTGCACAATCTTTAGGTTTGAGTCCCTACAGTAGGAAACTGCTTGTTACTAGGTAAACATTATGTAGAAAACAGAAGATAACTTTGATTTCCCTATGCCTAATACTCTCATGTTTAAGTGGTTTTTTTTGTAGATTCTTGAGTTGACTTTGAAAAGTATCATCTGTGCAAAAGAATTCATCACAATTATGGAGTATGCAGTACCAAAACAAGGTTTTTTAGTTCTTACCAATTGTAACACAAACAAGTTCAAGAAAGCGAAGGTGCCCTCAACAGTTTTTGGATTGTTGAATGAATTAAACTTTTCCAAGAGTGCTCTGCCATTGAGATGAAGTGATGCAGTCAGCAGCACAGCATGCAAAGCAACCTTAGTGACATGCAAAGTCTCTGAGAGGAAAATATAAGCTTAAACGAACAGCAGTGAAAATGGAAGATGTGTACAGAGATGGAAAAAAGGAAGGAAGAAGGAAACTGCAGAACACGAATGGGTCTTCAGAAAGCATGGAAAAGTCTCTGAAATGTCTATTTTCTTATGATAAGATATTTTGATTACATTACCTTCAGGTCTGGAAAATGATAATTTTGGTATTTTGATTAAATAAAAAATTAATTAAAATCATTTAATTTTGGTATTTTATTTAATTTTTTATTAAAATAATTTTCGTTCAATTGATTATTTACAATACTTTTTATTTTAGTCCAAATATTCTATGGTTTGATCTTTATTATTAATGACATGATGATGTGATCATTATTTTTATTTTTTATTTAATTTATTAGTAAAATTGTTCATTGTATTTTAATATTCTCTAACTCGTTGATTGTTGATTTTCTGGCATGTATACTATTATTATCAACGGTCTTAAAAGTAAAAGTATTGCATACGTGAATTTAATATAATATTAAAGATTACATTAATTTTATACTACTAAACATAAAATAAATGATAAAATATAAAGTGAGATTAAATAAGAAAAAATAACATTAAACAAAATTATATTTTTGGTATTTTTGAAATGAGAAAAATAAAAATATATATGATATGAATATTATTAGGATTAGATTTCACTACCTCTCTCTCTCTTCGTTAAGTTCAAGAATAATTATTGTTTTGTTTTTCATTGTTATCAATCTTTATTATAAAAGTTATACTCCTATCTCTTAAAACAAACTTATGTACGTCTCTTTAGATTACAATTTATTATTAATTCAATAAAATAAACTCACATTGAGTTAAAAGATTTAAAAATGATTAATAAATCATTCTTCGTTCTTCTCAAACAAATGATTTATCAATTGTATTATCTGATATCAAGAACTTATTTCAACATTTTACAACTTCAACTAATTTAGAGTTAATTTAGTTACAATAAACAATAATTTAAAGACTAAACATGTAAAATAATAATATAATATTATATATAAATATAATAAAAAAATATACAAGAGAGTTTGGTGAGTATATCTAACTCAACAAAAAAATAATTAACTACTCATAAAATTGAATAATATAAAATCTACACAAAAAGATGAAAAATAATTGAAGGTGGAAATTATGGGTTGTATCGTAGCCTTCCTATATGGTTTTCTTCTCTTTTCTTTCTTGTCTTATTCACTTCATATATAATATTTGAAATCAAAAAGAAAATATTTCATAAGTGATTCGTCAAATCAAAAAGAAATTAGTTTGATTAAGTAAAGGACCATGTTGGCTTGACTAACTTAACTTTTTCAATATTTCTTTATTTCTGAACTCTTACTTCATTAAATTTTGCTAAAAAGAGTTTTAAAATATTAGATGTATCAATAAAAAAAATATGATCAATCCCTCTTTTTCTATAGTTGTAGAAACTAAAAAGAACTATGAAATCATCTTACAGTGTTTAAAAGAAATTAAACAAGGGAATATCATATTTAATAAATTAAGCTTAAGATAATCGATTTTAATTTTTTTCTTAAAGAACAAGTTCATCACGAGTTAGAAGATATTAAAAAAAAGAATTGACCAATAAATTAGAAATGAAAATCGATTACGTCATTCTATTAACAATAAAATCAAATGGTAAATATTTAGACAAAAGAAATATTTAAGATATTCAATACAACAAAATTTATAATAAAATCTCAAATAAAATATCTAATTTTATGAAAAATTTAAGTCTTAAATATTATATACAAATATAGATATAGACTATATATTAATTTTTTTAACAATTTTTTTTTGTAATAAATTATGTATTATTATTTTATTGATCTTTAAAATAAACCAATTACGAACTAAAAAAAGTTATTAAAAAAACATTTTCATGTAGATATCACTCTACATATAAACGATAAAAGTATTTAAGATCTTCATCATATACAATTTTAAAAGAATAAGTTGTATATTCATGGCCAAATAATGTTATATTTGAATTTGATTAATTTAAAGGTTAAAATTTTTAATTCTAAAATTTTGATATGAAATTAAAATTTAACTTATTAAACTTTATAAATCAATAAATGTAATTTCTTAATTTAATTACATTAATTTCTTTTACGTTTTAAACATATTTTAAGATAACGTTTGAATTCTTTTATCTAGTTTTCACAAGTTTTATTTTAAATGTTAGAATATAACTTGTTTTAGTAGGTCTGAAAAAAAGTTATAAACCTAAAAAAAAATTATTTTGCATTCATTTTAAAAGTTTGAATATTAAAATATATTAAAATTTGAGACACAAGCAAACTATAATTTTACATTCAAATTTAACAACTAAAAGTATATTTAATCTTTAATTTAAATAATTAAAATCATTTTCAGTTTTTAATTTTTTTTAACTTAACTAATAAAAAATCAATGAAACTTGTATCATGTTGAATTTAAATAACTCAAATAATTCAGTTTACTTATATTTCAGTTTATTTATATTTCTAATCGTGAATCAAGTTTATCTCAAAGCTCAAGAATAAAAGATAAAGCATAGTAAGCCCACCAGAAAGAAAACAAGGACTGAGCTGTAAGACACAATAAAGTTATTACTATTATTTATGTTAGTATTTCGTATTAATAATTTAATAAATGTACTGAAAGAAGGTTTATGTTACCCGCCCACAGAATGATTAATTAATTAAATACCATTGACTGCAAATTGCAAAGTTTTGATAGTTTCTCTTAATATTTTATAAAATCCGATTTTTAAAAAAAAATTAAATTTTAAATTTTTTATTATTTTGGTTTCAAAAGTTAGGAACAACTAAAATTTAAATTATTAAAATTGTGTAAAAAAATCAAGAATCAAATTTATATAATTAAATGTTAAGATGCTAAAATTTTTGGAAAAAAATAGTGGCAAAAACTATATCTAAGCCTATTTTACTATAAATTATGAATATATTTGCTATTATTAGTGTGCCTCTTTCATGTGACAGAAACGAGACATCCCCATGAAATGAATACAAAAACTTCCACTTGGCTAAAAAGCCATGAACAGATGCAATGCAGGAACCTTATAATATGAAAGGAACGTGCCAGCCACGCGTTTCTCAATTTAATATTCTTCAACATGCTTTTAATATTCATATCTCTAACATTTTTCTGACCCCAAAAGGAGTTCAAAGTTAAAAAATATCCATTGAACTTCGTGGAAACAATCATCATTCACCAAATTTTTAGTACAATTTCAGCTGTATTTCATCTCAAGTTGAAACTTGGGCGTCAAGTCCAAGACTCTTATGAAATGTAATGCATCAAACCACCCTCTTATGCAGAGGAAATTCTATTAGAAATAGCTTACTGAGGTAAAAAAATAATTGGTATATGCATAAAGCTACGTATATGAAGTAGAAAAAGTGTTAGATTCTTTTCCCACTGACACATGAGCACACCTTATATAATATTTTCTAAATGAAGAGTTTGACTCTTAGAAAATTTTCTTTGACTGGTTCATCACATAAGAAAATCTATGGCTATATATATATACAACTATCATCATCTCATTCATAACCAGTTCCTTAGCTTTACGTTTCTTAGTCCTCTAAGTCATGTCAAAACCCTATTACTCCCTCTTTGCAGTGTTCATCATTCTGGTGACATGTCATGCTCAGACTGATAGTAACACATCAACAGTATGTGCTCCTTCTAACTGTGGTAACATCTCCATCGGTTACCCTTTTTGGAAGAAGTCCGACACCAACGTTGGAGAGTTTTGTGGCTACCCTGAGTTTGGTCTTGAATGCTCGGACGACCATGCCATCATTAAATTTCCAACTGACACATACCAAGTCGCAGATATAAACTATGATGTTCGTTCAATTACACTTCTTGACATAGATGTTTTGGACCAACCATGTCCTAGGGCACGACACAATGTTTCCCTACAAAACCTTCCTTTGTCTTTCAGCTCTCTAGATTTGAATCTGAGTTTCTATTTCAACTGCAGCTCTTATCCTGCATCTGTTGAGCACATAAAGTGCATGCAGCAACATGATAAGAATCAGTCTTATGTGTTTCTGGCTGGGGATGAAGTTGAAAATGGATACGGTTGGGTAAGGCAGTGCGATGAGCATGTTGTGGTGACAGTGAAGCAAGAAGAGATCGATGGTACTAATTTGATCACTGGTTTTGGTGATGCCATGAAGAAAGGGTTTGTGCTTGATTGGGTGAGTGCTAAGGATTGTGCAGCGTGTGAGGATTCTGATGGCTATTGCAGATACAATCATACCACCAAGCAATCAAGTTGCTTATGCAGAGATGGCAGAACTGTTGCCAAAAGTTGCAAAAAAGGTACACTTTAAGCTTCTTGAAACAAATTGCACATTCTTTTATTCGTCAAATTTACACGAAAATCTGCTTGCTTAATAGATTTAAAACAATATTATACTTACAACTTGTTGGTTATATTGCGTGGATGCTTTATCTGATATATTTTTGATTGTGTTAATTTAGTGTAACGTTGAATACGTATGCAAATTGTGCTTCTACTACTTCATATGTTTAAAATGTTTCATGATTTTATATTTTCTTCTGGTTACTCGGCCCATCTTATTGTAACTTTAGTCGACCACAGATTGAGTATAAAATTTGTGAATTCAAAATGATATTATAATAGAAAAAGTCAGTGTTTGTAGGGTAAATAAAAGAGTCCTTTTTCCAGTAATTCTCATTCCCTTTGTCATCACTACTCCAAGAGTGTTCCTCAGCAACTCTTTCATGTCAACCCTCACCGTTGCCACCTTAACTTAACAATATATCTCTTTCTCTGTTACTTCTTTTCTCTTTCTTGTTCTTTCCTTTCATTTCATTTATTAACAAATATGATTTACAACAACAAAGTAATGCCAAGATTCAAAGATACCACGATTTCTGAAGCCAGAAATGGAAAAGACATATCGTTTAATGGAAAAGACATATCGTTTATATGACTATGATACATATATCTGCAACTACGTGATGATATTTTATTTTCTTTAATTAGTTATGATATTTAAAATATGGTACATAATTTATCGTGTTATTTAAAAATTATCAGCCAAGAAAATTGTTTAATTTGATTTATTAATTGAGTGATAAATTATTTTTAAATTGACTTGTTCATCATCAATAGTTAAACCCTGTATTATAAATTACTAATCTTATAGCTAGTAAGAAAATGAACCTGATTAGGTATATGGGTTGGGAACATGGAACTATATTTGGGCTTGGGCTCAATAGTTTTCAGAACTATTGGGCTGTCCATCTACTATGGCCGACTAGTTTGAATTCATAAGCCATTGATATTCCATAATTACAACTTGCAATGTAAAATACTATAAAAATAGTTTTTAATTTTTGTGGTTTGACTAGACTGAGGACAACCATATCTTAAAATCAGAACTATAGAATAATTATTTAGTTTAAAGATTTTGGTTCTTCCTCTGACATAGTAATAGAAATTGTGTAGACATAAACCCTGCTATATTTTAATCTCCTTTACCTAACTCTGTATTAATATTTCTAAAATCCTTTCTATAATAAAAACATGTTCTTTCAGAAGAGCATACTACGAACATAAATTAAATAAACTCTTAACATCAAAAGGAAAAAGATAGAAAAGTAGAGAGACTCATTCGCTTATAACATTATCCAAAATGGTTTTCTTTTTAATAAAGGGGAAAGATTAAAATATTTAAAAGGGGTAGGTAGAGTGTTTTAGTCTTAACTTTAATCAATGTAATATTTTTTACAACAGTTTGCCAGCAAAGCACAAATTATTATTTGTTCTGGTCCGTTCAACCTTTTATAGAGCAATTTTTCTTCCCACCTTCGTTGCATATAACTTGTAGCACAATTTCTATTTTAAGATTTTCTAACCTTTGATAATGATTTTAATAATATAGATTATCAAAGGCAAAACTGTATATCTAGATAGATACACAAACCATTTTACAGACATGGATCCATTGTTTTATTCTGATCTTGTACTTTTCTTCTAGTTTATCATTCCCCTGTGTGAAGTTAGTCTTATTCATTGAATAAAGTTCATAAACAAAAAAAAAAAAATCTAATCATGACATCACTTACGTGAGAAAGAAACCGCATCCAGTGAATAAATCATACTGGTTAACATGTTTACACAATCAAAATTTAAGGCTTGGAGTGTTTTCTTTTAATGTTTTACCGACTTGTCAACACCATTTTTATGGAAGACACCATGCTAGTTATACGTCATTTAGTTTGACTAAGATATATAGACTGTTGTTGTGTAGTTGATCATTAAACAAGGCCTCTGACATTGTTCTCCGGCAAATTAAGGCCCCTCTCAGATTTCTGTCATGCCTCTTTCTTTTGTTCCACTTTCTTCTTCTCTCATAAACACCCTTTTCTTCTTCTCGCTCTTATTCCCAACTTATGCATCTAGTGATGCTGAACAGTACGCAGCATGTGAGCCTTTTAGCTGTGGGAAATTCAACAATATTAGGTACCCATTTTGGAGTAAGGACCAGCCAGGCTACTGTGGCCATCCAAAGTTCAAGCTTGATTGCCAACAAGACAACGCGACAATTGACATCATGTCACAGACATTCCAAGTCATTGACATGAATAAAAAATCCAAGGTTTTGACGATTGCAAGGTTGGATTTATTGGCCGACCCTTGTACTAAAGATTATGTGAATGTGAAGTTGGATCCTGAGTTCTTTATCTACACTTCTAACGATGATGAGTACACTTTGTTATATGACTGCGGTTCTCATGGATATACGTCTGGTAGTGTGAATATTGGAGGAGCAATAGCATTTAATTGCCCCATTGGTGGTCAAAATGCATTTTTTGTGAAGAATACCGAAGTGGTTAATCTCATTAGTCTGGGGTGCAAGAACAGCATCAATGTTTCTGTTCTAAGAGAAGCTGTGAAGAGTGATTCGGTTGTGGGAAATGTTTTAGCAAGTGGATTTGAGGTTGGATGGAGTGGTGTGAACGAAGATGAATGTGATGGTTGCACAAAAATTAGTGGGAGATGTGGATACAATTCATCTACGAGTGGATTTATCTGTCTCTGCCCAAATCAGCAATCAGATGCTGAGATTTGCAAACAAATCATAGCAAGGTCTCCAGAACCAACACCCAGAGTAACACCAGCAAAATCACAGTCACCCCCTTACTCTCAAACATTTCCAGAACAGTCTCCAGAGTCTCCACGTGCTCCGAGTATGTTTTCTTCCATCTTTTGTTTAGATTAAGTTCTCCAACTGTATAATCTTATTCTTTTGAATGGTGGCATTCAACTTTTTCTGAGCATCCAAATACCTTGCATGCTTGTTTAGATACAAGTTGAGAAGTTAAATTCGCGTTTAGGATGTGAAAGACAGCAGAGTTATAAATACCATAGCTTCTTAATAAGCGTAATAAAATCATATCTGAAAGGTGGAATCAAACAAGTTATTCATCCTCTCTGTTTAGGTAGCTAGTTTCACATCAGAACATGAAGGATCTCTCCAATGGTTGCGTGTTTAGGAATAGTTGTTTGGTCAGATATTGTTCCCTTTGATCTTTTTCCTGTCATTCCTGTCAAAACTTTTATAATATAGATCGAACTGATTGAAGACTGCGTTACGGGTGAGATACGTGGGCAAATTTATAATGCCTATTGCGTTCCGCCCTAAGGGCGGGGGTTTGCCGGTGGTTGACTTTTATAATAATAACAAAGTGATAGAAACGAGTGATAGGTTTTTAAAAGTCTGCATGATGAACACATATGGGATTTTGGTGATTAGATGCTAAAGCAACACATGAATCTGGTCATTGGAAAATGTACAGGCAGCACAGTGTCCACGACATCAGTAAGAGCTCACTACCTTGTTTGTTATAATTTGCAATGGACGCCGCTTCTTTCAAGGTGGATTCCCCTGATTTCCAACATACCCCTCTTGTGGCTCGTGTTCCATTCTTCACATTTCCTTGAATTGCTAGAGTCTTGATTATGAATATAAGGTCCAATCTAGGTCAATGGTCATAGACCTTTCTGAGTATAAAGGGTTTAGTACTTTAGAGATGAGGTCGAGAAAGAACTTTAAAAAGAGCTTTGCTGTTGGTTTAAAGAATAAAGATAGTTTCCATGTATAAAGAACAACCACATGCCTTTCACACGTTGGTGGATCATGTATTGATTTATAGAATACAGCAAAATTAGAATGGCCTGGTTTATCGTAGAAGTCCCCCTACAACACCAATTTAAAACGGTAGTATTTGGGAAAAATACAGAAATCGCAGTAATAGAGTAGCCCCGGGACAGAAAATTACAAGTTAGCGAATTTGTAACGAAAATACATAATTATGCGGCAACATATATATTTGGAAGATACGATGTGTTGTGTCCAGACAGTAACAGTAACAACACATGTTTCTGCAACATTAACTCTTCCCTACATGACCAATGACCATAATGGATTCTGATAACCTATATCACCCCCACCTTGGCTGTACGCCACGTGACTCCTTCTGTAACTTGCCACAAGGCCCGTTTCCAAGACTTCAGCTAACCTGCTCATAACAACCCTGGAATCAAAACGCAGTGGAAACACCTACATGGGGGTGGTTCTCTCTATGCCAGTGGTGGGATTCTCTTAAGATGAGTTGGAAATAAGGGTTTTGAGCTTGAGGGACTATTAAAGCGAAAGCACACGATCGTCTCAAGTTGAGGAACATGCTCTGTTCCTCCTCCTCTAGTTTCTCCTAGAATTGCTCTTCATAGGCCTGAGAGTTGAGAGATTGGTCGATAAATGATTCTTAACTAACGTAAAGTTCCTGCCATCATGCTGAAAGAACCATTCCCTGGGCAACAGCAGCACACTGCTATGGAATAAACAAATAGAGAAATGGCGGAGGATTCGAACAGTCGTCTCCGAGAGAGGGTGGTGTCACAACTTAATAAATGTTAACAGATTGCGGGAAAATGGACGGCTTGGAAAATAAGACAGGCCTACAACAAGAAACAGCCTAAATATGTACGACAGATAAATCTCTGTAGAGATAACAATTGCCAAACTTTTGGGGTTAGAACTGAGAGTAACAAACAGAATGACGCGTGGCGAGTGTAATTCAACTCTCTTGGAACGACAGAACATATTAACTTGGTATATACTGGATATACAGAGGAAATCTAATGTAGTAAAAAATCAGTAGTCATAGAGAAATCATTCTCTTTAATACAAGCACACCAGCAAATTGACCTTCCTGCCCTCACCTTTCAGAAAGGGACGCACTCCATCACACCACCAGTCATCACTTCCCTATTCTCCACACAAAGGGAGACAACAAA